AATTCGGTATAGTAAGGGTTTTTTTATATTTAAAAATCTGTCTGACACTGAAAATCTATTGTATTGTAAAATTCGTTATATCAAAATTCATTGTAGAAAGAGTTGACTGTAGAATGAGTTTGATATATAATATTTATGTTATATACCGAATAGTTCAGTATAAAATTAGCCAATAAAATTACAAGTACATAATTATCAAATTTTATGATTTTTTATTATTTATATTATTTAGTAAATTGCTATTACATTATTACATTAGATATTATCTTGAATATTATCTTACTTAAGATTATTTTCAACTAAAACCTTAATTCATTTATGTAACCCTTTTAAATTTTTTAATTTATTATTTATTTTCCCAAATTCCACCTCTTGCTCAAATAAAAATCTTATGATTTTATTTATAGCATTTTCTGCTTCTATTGGACTAACTTTTTATAATACTAATACAAATTTAATTTCATCTATTATATATTCCTCTTCCCTATCTACATTTAATATAGTATCAATTATTTTATCATCAGTAAGCCTACCCTCTGTTACTTTATCTTCAATATGAATATATTCTCATATATTAAGATCCTCTTTTGGAAGAAGAGAAATTAACCTTTCAAGTTCTTCTTCATCATCTTTATTAAAACTAAAAGAAAACATAATTATTAAATTATTTACATTGTATTTAATATTAATGTTAAATACTTATATGTCTTCATCAAAAATAAAATCATCTTCAAACACATCTTCATCTTTATTATTTAATGAAAGAATTCCTATTTTTTTTTCAGTAGTTTGAGATTATTTGAGGTAATACCATAGACCATGCTTCAGCTAAATTTTGTAAAGCATCATAGATATTATAATCAGCAAGCTCTTTCACAATATCATCTTGCACATTATTATATGCATTAATTCGATTTTGAACAAAAAGACATTTATAATGATATTTAATGAATGGATAATTTCTGCATCATATGGTTGAAGAATAGTAGTAGTATTTAGTAAAAGAAATTTTATCACAATGCTATCTAATTTTTTCTTGAGTTTCATCTAAAATAAGTTGTACTGGTATATTATTAAGCAAAAGAACAATTTTACATTCTTTTTGCCTCATTTTTCATTAAGCTTAAAAATAACTTCATTAAAAAGACTAACTTGCATCTAAGATTTTTTATTCCAAAAGTAATAAACAGAAAGTTTTTGTAATTAAGATTTTTCATGAAATGAGGGGTTTTGTATTTATGAATAAAAATAAGAGCTATTTTTTCAGTTTCTAATGCATTTGTTATGCAAAATATAGTAATGTGAGATTTTCTTTTTTATGATCAGATATAAAACCATATGCCAAAACTTTAGAAGGTTTCATTTTTCAAAAGAGACCAGTTTCGTCTCCATTTTAAATATCTTCAAGATCATAATATTTAAAAAATTATTGTAAGGCAATGCGATCATTTTCTATTGATTCAGCAAAAGAAGTACTTAAAGCTTCATCTTGCTTTTAAAATTGACGCAATCTATATCTTTTTTTAAAGCCAGTTAACCATCTTTCTGATTGATGAAAATTTTTTATAAAAAACTGTCTAACAAAAAAATTTGCTTTTGTTTTTAAGATATTACCATCAATATTCTATTTTGTATTAAGTGTATTGTCAACCTAGAGACTAAGTATATTTTTAAGTTGAGGCCATTTAGGACCACAAAATTTTTTAATTTTTCCTTGATCTCCTAAAATTGCAAGCCAGTGTTCTTTTTCATTTAAAATGTTAGTAACTGTTAATTTTTCAATATTATATTTTTGTGTAAGAATTACGTTAGAAAGGTTTAATTCTTTTTCTTTTATTTTACAAATCTCACGTTTTTGTGCTATAATAAAAATGTTTTTTTTCTTTGTTAACATTTTAAAACAAATAGATAAGAAGATAAGATAAAAAAAAGATTATCAAAAAATCGTATAATTTTTAATCAATTATTAATTACATGATATTTGTTATAGTAAATACAGTCAACTTTTGTTATAACAAACTCTATGTCCTAGACTTCAACTTTTCTATAAGGCTATAGTGAAGATTTTAAGAGATTTGATTGGCCAATTCGCTATAACATCTTTATTTATATTGTCTTTTAATCAACTATTTTTTAATTTTAAATGTAATAAGAAAATATTTTTTCATATATATCTATAGGAAGGTAGATATATAAAAAATTATAAATGTAATAAGATTATGTATAAAGGTATAATATAAATACAAGGTAGATTAAAAATAAGGAGATATTTAAGATTTAATATAAGATATAAGTATTATTATAATAGAAAAATATTTCTGATAAAATAGTAAATTATGCTAGTAGTAATAATAAATTTTTTTAAACAATCTACAATAAAAATTAATCTAGATTTATTGATTAATATATGATTTATTACTTATTAATATCTATAGAATTTAAAGTAAATTTATTTTTTTAAAAATCTACTCTAATTTATAATTATCATATTTTATTATAACTTTTTTTCTATCTTTTACTCTATTTGGCTATTTAATATTAATATAATTTATAAAGTAAAAATAACATATAATACCTACTGTTTTAAACTATTTAAAATTAATAAACTTTATATTAAAGCTGTAGTTATTCTTTTTATCTTAACAAACTAAAATGTTTCTCTCATAAAAGTTTTTATATATATAATGTAAATTATGCAAATTATTAATTACTTTAGTAGTTTTTATTATTAAAAAATGTCACATATTATTATAAGGGTATGGTAATTTAATTTAATATTAAGTGATAATTCAAACATTTCATATAAATCAATAATCAGCCTTTAGGAATTTCAATATTGTGAATAATAATTGAAATATATTTGTCATTGATTAAGAATTTACTGCAAGTAAATAATACTAAATAGCTTTAATATAGGCTTTATATTATAATAATATATTATCAATTCTTTAAAGTGTAACTTTTTAAAAAGATAATCATTATGCTAGAAATTGATTTGAAATTATAAGATATATATTAATAAGCTAATAGCATTTTAACAAAAAAAAAAAAAATTAAATTATTATCCCTTAAACTGCAAAGCAGGCAAATTTGCTTGCGAACACAAAAAAAAAGTATTAATTTTTTAATAAAAAATAAAATATTAATGTTAATAATATAATTATTATATAAAAAATATAGT